ATTAAAAATCCCCAATTGGGTTGCTTTCTTAGTTTACTACCTGGTAGTATTATAATTAGGCATTGTGCAGACAACAACCAATCCTTCTAATGTGCGATCCCGTTCAGACTAATTCACCAAATGAGGACCCAGTTTTGGGAGCAGATTGCCTTGCCTGTCTCCACACTACATCCCTAAGTTGCAAAACGGCTTCCTTAGGAAGACAAACTTTTCTCCAGGTGTTTGCACGCGTGTGGGTTTTCACTGGAACCACAGTACAGAGGAGTGCTTGATAATGCATGCTTTTTGTTCTATGGGGGCAGGGTCAGGGGGCAGGACAGGGATGGGCAGGGGGAGTGGGCCTGCTCTCCAAATCCCAGCTCCAATGCCAGCCTGACAGACTCTGCACACAGACATGACAGGGGATTGTCAAAATGCACCACAAACAATGTGGCTAATGTACCGAGATCCCCAGCAAAGAAGCTCAAACACAAGTGAGGAAGAGCCAAGAGATATCCAAGTCCACATGGAGTACTGGAAAAAGAACAGCTTTGGGAAAGTTTGATCTGCTTCCTACGTTGATCCCCTTCGCCAGAGAGATCAGAGAGAGGGGGCACAAGGGGAAAGAAAGACCAGTCTTTGGCTCTGCCCTGGAATAGCCTGTGAGCAGTTCAGGCAGAATTTCTTTACACAATAGATGAGTGAAATATGAACCACACTGCCAACATCAGCAGGACAAGCAAGCCCTGTGTATTCCACTCAAGAGGGGCCTAGACACATTTCAGAAATAGCAGGGACTCTGCAGACTGGGACACTAACTCCTGTCCTGCGTTGCCAGTCACAAAATACAAGTTAATTTTTGTTTTGCAAGGTAATGCTAAGCACAGAGGGGAGTGGGACAATTCGAGCCCCTTCTGGAATCATATGAACTGGTCATAATTCTGGCAAGAGTGTAAGGACACCTTACCTAATCAAGGATGTTCTCAAAAATAATAATCATCATCATCTCATCTAAGTAACAGATAAAGAGCCGACTCCCAGAGAAATCTAACCAATGGCCTCAGATCATTCTGTGGCACAAACAGGACCCAAACCCAAGTTCCCAGACTCCTGGGCCCATCATCATCATCATATGTTCAAATGATCAGTGAATGTCTCTGAATTCTGGGGTTTTCCCTTTCCTGGGCTTTTGCAAAGGATGTGGACAAGTCCCATCTGAGGGTGTATTCACACCACTTGGACAAGATGGAATAAATAAAAATTAAAATGTTTTTCTAAAGTTTGTTTCATTTGAAAGCACAGAAAAGGAGTTGATGTGTTAGCTGTTTTGGAGAAGGGTTCAAACTTGTGTCCTGTGGATAAACCCGCAAAATAATGTGTCATCGTTCGAAAGTTTTCTTTTGGCTTTTTATTTATTTTTTTAATGTATTTTTATTGGTTTTAGAGAGGAAGGATAAGAGAGATATCAATGATGAATTTGACTGGCTCCCTCCTACACAACCCCCAACGGGAACTACCTGGTAGTACACAAGCCAGGCATATGCCCTTGACCAGAACTGAACCCATGACCCTTCAGTCTGAAGGTTAATGCTCCATCAACTGAGCCAAGTCAGCTAGAGCTAGCCTTTTATTTTTTAATTAAAATTTTTAATTCTCTCCTTAGCCTGGAAATTGGAGGAAATTTATCAACAAAGGAGTTGATAATGGCTGTTGTCCAGCAGAGACCACAAAAATGGTTCTAGATTTGGGGTTGAGGGTAGGGCAATGTCACAAGAGTACATGAAGCAATAATTCTAAATCTTTGAAATGTAAATAAGACAATTCACCCTCGTGAGGAAAGTATCAGAGGCAGATAGTGGATGGCATTTGAGTTTGGGTGCTTTAATTTTATGAACAGGTATTTTACCACTCAGTCAGGCACCCGGTACCTGGGCAGCATCTGCTCCCCTCCCTGAGCCCTAGACTCAGGAAATACTAAAATGAAGTTCTATGACGAGGAACCAGCTTTTTTAATAATTTTAAAAACAGCAAAGTTTAGAAAACAGACATTGAGCTCAGAAGGCAGGCTCTAGGTCTCCCCACTTCTGTGGCCCACTGTCTGCCTGGCAACCGGCCCAGGGGCCCAAATGGGAACCGCACGTAGATTTTGTGAAAGGGGAATAACACGTAAATGTCACAAAGTAAGAATGAGACACTGCAGTCTTAGTTTCTCTATCTCCTGATCTGCTTAAAAAACAAAAAGTGGTTTTAAATGGACTTCAACATAGACCCTCGCTAGGTACTTGTTGAATACATAAAAAGCTTTAGATTCAAATTTTTTCCTTCATATACTTCACTGTTAGAAATATGAGAGGAGTTCACAAATACCAATGCTGTGCAATAATGGTATTTTTCTTCTATTATGTTGGCTTTTAAAGTGTTTTAGAGAAATAACCCAAATTTGTGTACATATTTCTCAAGTAATCTATGGATGAGCTAATGCAACTATTTCAAAACTGAGGCAAAACAGATTGAGAGTTAATTAGAGGTACAGTACTCAAAAATATTTAAGCAGTGTTGTAGATCAGCGATCTTGTTATGTTTTTCTAGGTGAAACCTCTAGGATTGCTCTCCTAGTGTGTCTTATATTTACTTTAATTGAAAAGCAAAACCATTGAAACCATGAAAATATATAACCTTCTAAGAAACTGAATCATTGCTATCATATATTTTTTTCAAATCTCTCATATCTTCTGGCAAAATCTTAGAATGTTGGCTCAATATACAGGATGATAACATGACATTTCCCTGAAGAAGGGATAAGGTCCAATAAGCCACTACAGTACCTAAAACAAATGGAGCTAGAGTACGAGATTGGACTTTTTTCTGTGTGCCCCCCAACCCCCGCCTTTTCCCACCCTAAGAATGTCAGGAATGTGAACTCCCTGTTCTTAAGGTGAAAGGGCATTCATTAGCTCAGATCTGTGCGTGAAGAAGCGAGGTGGCGAATCCTGAGACACTGGAACCGTACCATAAAATCTCCCGCGTTTCAGATGGCAATAGATGATGATTTCCTTCCGTGCGAAGGCAACGGAAAACAACATTGGGAGTGTAGATCATGAATTAGGACCCAGTAAGATCTCCATCTGCACCTCAGTGATTCTCGACTCCTTTATTTCAACATTTAGCTTTAGGTTTAAAATATTTGCTAAGAGAAAGCAGAAAGGTGATTAACAGAAGTTCTTAAATGTGTGTCATAGTTACACATTCGGTCAACAGAGGAAAAGGAAACTATACAGCATACGTTACAAAATGGTTATTTTGTGTCTCGCAAACATTCCAATAAACTCTCCATGTGGTATTATTCAATTCGACAGTAGAAAAGCATCAGAAAGGACCTCAAGAGCCAGCCCAGCTCCGCCAACGTCTTGCAGAGAACAGCGAGGAACCCCTTGGCGGCAGTCTGCCTGGGAATCTCAGCAAGGAAACCTCCTGGTTTCTCCTGTGAGGAGACTGGCTATTCCTTCAAAATGCACCAGGAAGAGGGAGCTGCAGCTCACTGAGGGGCCCCGGAAGCTACTCCCACCCCCACGTAAATAAACCCTCAGGACTGCATGGAAGGCTCTGAAGAGCTTCGTTTCCAAAGGAACCAGCGTGGATGGCCTGGGGTTCGCATGATCTCCTAGTGAGTAACTTCATGTGTTTGGGTGTAGTTACTCGTTAAACTTCTTTTTCCTAAATTAGCTAGAGCTACCAGGTTCTAGAAGAGCATGGCCACAAGTTAGACACTTTAGATGTTATCGGGTTGTTTTAAAATATTTTCACTTTATTTATTTTATATTATTATTATTCCAACAGATTAGGTGAAAGGCAATGATCACTAACACAGAGTACAACAGAGCTAACAATCAGCCAGGCTGCTCCCCGGGACCAGGGCTGTCCGGCCTAAGGCGCTGACATGCATGTCGGTAGCGCATACACTGCTACCCTCATAGCACAGGCTGCAGGAGGAGTGAGTGGAACGACAGATGCTGCTGTACCCTTAGAAGCTATTTAATAAATATCATCAAAAAACAAAAGGGAAAAGAAGCCCTCTGGAGCACAATCACCTTAGGTCAATTGAATATTATCTAGTTTATTCAACCAAAAATTGAGAGAGAAGAAAAATATTAAACAAAAAAAACAAAAAAAAAACAAAAAAAAAGCAGATCTTAACACTAGCAGTAAATAAATTTGTACAACGATTCAGTCTGTATAATATGATGAAATAAATCTACATCTTTTCTTATTTTGGTGCTTTGAATTATACATACAAACAACAATTACAGGGACTGGATCACGCAGCATGTAGGCCTGGGAAAAGGCTATCTGAAACCCTCGATGGCAAAATGTGTGTGTTACCACGGATTGCCCGAACTGATACAATATCCTAAGCAGAGGCCCACAGCTTTGAACAAATGATTCGCCTACGACTTTTTTTTTTTTTTTTTTTTTTTGGTTCTTTTTTTCTTTTTTACTTTTTTACTTTTTTTTTTTTTTTTTTTTTAATGCAATCAAGCACCTGTGGCCAGCGAAGAGAAACAAAAACTGGCAGTTTGTTCATTTGGACATCAGACCTAGTTTCTTCTTAATTCCCATACTTGATTTCCCCCATCTTCCTTAAAATTCTTGGCATCCTTCATGCCTTCCTTACAGCTACCCAGATGCAATAAAGTCTTCTTCAAATGTACAGTATTTCTTACATTATAAGTTATATGCAATGTTCAGCATTATTTTTTTTTTTTCACAGCACTAGAGAGACCCTGTTAAATAGGGAACATGAGTCTGAATGGCTTATTCACAAATGGGATCCAGATTCAGTGATTGGGAACGCAGACGCCACAGTGAGCTCCTCAGCAAAAGTGGCACACGGTTTGCCTTCTGCCTTCAAAACGAACAGATATCCATCGGTTCTCGGTTTCATGATATACTCCTGCAGAAACGCACGCGGAAGGGGCTGGAGGCACTCTTGCCTGGAGGCCTTTGAGCATGGAGCAGAGACTCTAACCCATGGCGGTGACCATACTGGAAGGGTGGTGAGGTCCAAAGGAGAGGCTGGACGGCGGGTGCATCGGCGTCGGAGTGGTCAGCATGTGGCTGGAGTGGCTGAAGGGCGAAATGTGGCTGAGGGAGGACATGTGTCTGGAGAGGGCGGCCGGGTTGAAGGAGCTGCTCTTGGGGAAGTCCTCCAGGGTGTCGTGTACCTTTTTGCACTTTTTGGATTTGCTAGACATTTTCCGGTTTCGGGTCTGGATGCCTTCCTTCTTCATGGTCAGGGGTCTGTTAATCTAAACAAAGATCAATTTTTTTTTTTTTTTTTTACTTTGTTGCTGGCTCTGAAAAGGCACAGGCTCCTGCCCACTCCAACACAGGTCCCTCTGACTGCCCCACTCAGGGCTCTGCTCTCCTGGGGCCCCTCCCTCCCACCCCCTCCTGCCCCCTTCCCGGGGACCCAAGGGCCCACGGGCTAGGTTAGCGGCGGAGCTCTGACTGTCAGCCTCTATCAGTTTCCGAAACCAGGAGACCATAGGAAAAAGGTGTTCCAAGCAGAGGTTATTAATCATGTTCATCCATATCGGTCATGTGGGGGAATCTGCCTTCCCAAGGACCACATTCTAGAGACCTACCTAGTATGACTGTATTTTCCTAAAATATAATAACTTGTCTTACTTTGTTAGAATTTCCTGGGACTATTTCATCAGGATGGAGGCCTCTTCAAGGGGGAAATGACACTGTCTCCTCTCCTGATCTCCGTGTTGGACTTAAAAGCACTGCCGAGGCAGCCAGAAGTGTTGATGAAGCAGTGTGCATCTGCTTCAGGAAACCACGACTATCCTGATTCAAAGTACATTTTGGCCTTTGGCAAGGAGAGATGCTGTCAAATCTGCCCCGGGAATTTGTATGCTCTGGGGTCATATTTTAATACAACCTATCTTTTCAAAGGGTCATCCCTTGTCCCCTCTTACAGCAACTGTAATGACTGAAAAATCGCAATTTCTACCTAGTTTTGACTCTCCCCTTCTAACTAGACAAACAACGAAACCACTTGGGGGATGCAAAGCACTGTCCTAGCGTGCAAGTGCTCTCATCCTAAAAATCAAAAACCAGGACACTAAAGACAGAGACAAGCAACAACTCGAAAGATCACAGGTCTTCAGCCTCTGAGACAGCATTCCACCTCTCTCTTCTCCATAAGACTCATTGGATTTCTTTTTTAGATACATTTGCTTTTGGGGGGGGGGGGGGGGCTGAATCAAGAGAGGGGACATTACAAAGCCACAGAGACCACTCTCCATGAGGTATCAGACAAATTAACCGCAGCAGCAGTCATCTGTCCTCTGCAGCAAACCACATCTGGCCAGGTTTCCAAGGAAATGTGGCAAAGCAATTCAAGGAGAGAATGTCAGGGTCTCGGTCATTCCTGACTCCCTGGGGGAAAAAACATCCTCAAGGGTAAGGAGGGAAAAAAGAAGTTCCTCATGGCTCTAGGATCTACCTGTTTGTTCCAAAAACAAACCAATGGCAGTTAAGGAAAAAAGAATTCAAACAGCCAGGAGGGACAGGCTGCTGACTGCGTTTCTGAGAGCAGCAAACACACAGCTTCCTGGAGCTGAGCTGGGAGAGGTCACGGGGTGAGTGGGGTGGGAGGTGGGAAGTGGGGGGGTCGGGGCAGGGACAGTGGGGGGTACAGAACCTCACACTGGAGCTGAGACCTGATTTCCCCTCATGCCAGGCAGGCAGCGTAAGTGATGGCAGAAGAACTAAAAGGTCGTTGCCAAGAGAACATCTCTGGGTTCCTTCTAAGTTATAATCAAGGTAAAGGTGCTGCCTACAGAAGTGATAGGAATCTACTGTCACATCAAATCTTCCCCCAGATAATGTCCAGACACACAGCTCTTTACCCAGATATCTAGATACACACACAGCCAGATATCTAAATATAATATCTAGTTACACCGATAGCCACACAAACCCAGATAACTAGTCCCAACACCACCTAGATTCACTGATACTGAGATAGGTAGTTATCGAAACACCCAGATAAGCAGAAAGGGAACTAACTTATGGCATACTTATGCAGGTATCTCGATGGGCAGAACCAACAACAAACCAGACAAGAATGTTAATGGATTAGTATCTCTCATTGTTAAATAAGCATAGATAGCCTCCTTTTGTGAATTCTTATTAAACTAGAGAAGACGAAAAGCCACTCTTATTGATGGGCAAGTTTCTCTCCCACAGGAGCCCACCCATGCAGTCATGAGCTAATTAAGAATAGGAGAAGGACGAGCGGTGAAGAGAGTTCCTGGACTTTGATTTGATGAGAAATCCATAATATTCAGAAACATTTCTCTTAGGTTGGACTCAAGTGAGATCATATCTCCTCATGGCTAAGGAGTCAAAGAAACTTAAACCTGGTTAATTTCCCATACTTCTGTGGAACTAGGGAAGATATATGCAAACACACACAATTCACTGCTTTGAATTGAACTCAGGTACATTCTAAAACGAGAAGGCATTGCATTTCCCCTGGTCCCCATCAGTTCTGATACTCCCCAGGAAAGTTATCTGCTTCTCTGAAATCGGCCCTGCCTCTGCCACTTCCCCAGCCATCTTCCCTTGCACAAGTTACTTGCTTCTCTGAGTCATAATTTCTCTAAGTAAACCGGAAATAGAAATAATTTCTGCTCTGTCTACCTCTTGAGACTATTTGAGGCTCCACAGCAATCAAATAATATGAAAAGTTCTTTGAAAAATCATAAATTACAACCCCAAAATAATTTTATAGGCTGTGCTAATGACTGGATAACTCATACACTCTAATGCCCCAAATCTTTCAGATTCTCATCACAAATCTGTTATCTCCATTGCAGGGAGCAAGCAAATTCTCCTGAGTGAGATCGGACTTAAGCTTCAATGCTGATAAGTGTATGCAGACACAGTCCAGGGACCTGAGAGAGAAGAACCGACTCTAGGAAGACCCGAGTTCCATCAGTGCTGGGCCCATAGCAAGAGGGTGACACTGAAGGCAGGGAGGTGAGTTTTGCAGGCTCTCTGGGAATCTCAGCAACTTATGCCCAAAAGGCAAAAAAAAAAAAAAAAAAAAAAAAGACAAGGGTGCTGGGATCACCCTAAGACGTTCTCCTGTGACTCAAAAAAATTTAACCAGAAACACTTCCTCCCCAACTCCCAGGTATTCCTGGGTAAGAAGAGGTGACTGCCAGAATGGCCGTGAGCAAAAAGCTCTGCCTTTTCCCCCATCCAACCCCAGACTTTGCCAAAGCCAAATAACATCTGACTTTGGGAAAATCTGATGGAACCGAAGAAGGGCGTGACAGCAAGAGGGAAATGACAATTCTGTCTTTGGGACGAAGGCAAACTTCGGGCCTCACTAGGTCTTAGCCTTTCAGCCAGACTTGTTGGGGGCGAGGGGGAGGATTTTTTTAAGGCAAAAACACTGCAACGTGGGAGGTTCCCAAATCAAAAGGTTAGAACTGACAAAGCTAAACCCAGGTGACTGACTGACAATTATCATTCTGCTAACATGGTATATAGAAGGAGAAAGGCAGGATTTCTTTTCCCTAGTCTGGGTAAGCGCTCTAGGATCCTCCCTCAACTTTCCTCAGTTCTCTGCTGATTAGGACAAAGCCCACAGATGAGATCTCTCAGACATTTCATCCCGTGTCTTCTACACAGAGAATCCATTTAAAATTCACAGCGCAGGGTAAGCCAAGACTTGCCCCTCAGTAACTGGATCTCGGTCCTCTGCGCTTCAGAGATCTCTGTGCTGTGCATTATAATCCTAGTTACTTTTCCCTCTTTTTGCCAGAAACACAAACACAAGAAAACATCAAAATATAAATCGTGACTTGTTTTTGTTTTCCAAGGAGAAGTTTTTTTCCCCTTAAGAACCCAGACTCAAATCCACCACCCATGTTAGACTGCTCCATTATCTGCAGTGTTTCCTCATAGTCTCCGTACATACTAAGGGGGCTGGATTGTCCGTCCTTAAATCCTTTGCTCTCAGCAAGGCTACACTACAGAGCAGTTCCCTATACAGGTCCCGCTGCACTGATGATCGGAGGCCTGTTGTCTGGCCCAGAGGACGGCATGCAGATGGACAAGGGGGGATCTGGGACGAGTGACGCTGAGCACTGGGCATCGTCAGCCAGGGAGACGGCGGTGGCTGGCTCCCGTGACACTTACATTGTGCAGCTTGTAGTAGAGCCCGCAGGCGTTGCAGACAGGGTCCCCGTTGGCATTCCTTCTCCAGAGCGTGGTAGTGGTGGTTTGACAGTTTGCACAGGACGTTCCTGCTCTTCTAGCTGCCGACTGGGGAGTGGAGGGGGGTGGGGGGGAGAAATCAAAACAAATGTTAAATGTGTTTTCAGAACTACAGAGACAGACTTAAAAAAATTATCATTGAAATCAAAACTAGCAAGTGGCCCACATGAAAGTAAGGAAGATCCCCAAAAGCAGCCTCAAAAAGAAAAATACAGAAGATCCACTGGCAGAGGAGTGTGCCAGCCTGCAGCCACATGGTCAGAATTTGGCCTGCTGCGCTCCCGGGTAGAACTTGGGAGGATCGGGAAGCTAATGTTATCCTCTGAGTCCGTTTCCCCCTCTCCCTAGCACACAGAGTCCACCAGATGTTTCGTTTTTACGGGTGGCCACTCTGCATTAACCAGTAGCCTCCTTCGCCAGGCCTGCAAGAAGCCTTTTTCAAATGCAACCGCTCAGATATGACTTCTCAGTGAGGCGCCTGGCCATCACAGTGACTAACAGCAAAGTAAGCACAGTCCCAAAGGCACCAAAAGCACTTCACAGACCCCTAAGGAAACAAGGCTGGCTTACGGAGAGCAGAGTGCTAACGGAATGAGGATGCCTGTGCCTGGGTGAGCTTGCATCCATGGGTGCTTAATTCAGGAAGCACCAAGCAGGAAGCACCCAGTGCGAACAAGACCTTGGCAAATGTGCAACAGCCCTACATTCACACAGCCCGTGCTCAGCCTCTGTCACTCACGGTGACAGCCATCCTCGTCCTCTCTAGGCAGCTTTTAGTTAATGAGACAAACTGTAAAGAGGGGATTTTGGTCTTCGACAGGAACGTGGCCCCTCCTCCTGCTCTCATCTCATCCCACCTTCTGGAAATTAGGTATTTCCTATTTGCTGTTCACGGAGCACAATAGCTGCGGGTCAAATGTCAGCCTCAACTTGAATTTTAATTATTTGATTGTGTCACTGCCTTCATTTCTTTTAAAAGAGAAATTTATCTTGCACTTTCTTTTGGCACACAGGTACAAGGGGGACTATTCTCTATGTCCATAGTGTCAAAAAGAAAATTAAACTCAAAAACATTTGGGGGAAAAATGGAGTTGGGCCACTTCTAACATTCACCTCTCAACTCCTCAGCCCTGTCCCCCACAACATAAAAAGAAAAAGTTAACCACAAAATTATTCCTGCCCCTGAATTCAAACATATTATGACAGGCAAGAGGAGGAGAAAGAATTCAGCTAGCTTGATTTTAAAAAAACAAAATTTTTTTAACTGGCATAGGTTTAAAAAGCATAGGACAAAAGGGACAGAAATTGTGGCGTATTTTTCCATCAGTATTTTTCAGAGATCTGAAGCTGCTGAGTATGGAAAACCCAGTGGCCACCCTGAGTTAACCAGGCTGCTTCCTTTCCTTTCAGAGCCACTAAATTGCTCCAGAGACACGCTCCTCCGTCCTACAGGCTTAACTGGCAGAGCCTCTGTTTTTGCAGTAGCAGTACTTACTTTCTGCGTTCTAAGGAACTGGAAATTAAAAACAGTCCTTACCTATCGTAATCGAAAAGGTCCTACTTTTTGAAGGTCCGCTTTAAAAATAATTCAATTCAACCTACTGCCTCTAACCCCACCTGCCTTTATGAAACGTGATAATTTAACACTCAAATAACTGGCTCTTCTGTATTCTTGGAAAGGAAAAGAATACGTTAAATCAGTGTTTAATGATTTTGACAATTACATTATTATGTGATTATTATGATCTTCCTGTACTTTTTTTTTTTTTCCCTTTAAAAGAAATACTCGGATATAGTAGACTGATATCTACTCAGGACCGGAATTCCCAGCCCAGCAGCTTGGAATGTATCGCACAAGCACAACAGGCCAACTGGTAAAATCAGAGCACATTGGCAGTTTCATAAACAGGAGTAGACTCAGAAAGCGTGTCTGGTCTACGGACTTTCTGCGAATTTATGCAGAACTTCCCAAAGCCACACTGTTTGTTTGATTCACTAGCAGGAGACAAAGTACATTAATAAAGCAAGCTACTCCACTGGTTGCCCGACCTACGAAAAGCCTGGCCTGGCAACACTGAGGAAAGAATTCTATGGCTCTTTCCTTCGGTCACTTCTCCCATTTCCTGAGTGAGTTTACTCAGTGTTAGATAGGCATCTGACGGGGAGCTGGCTACACGTTGGGCTGGGTGGCCTCAGTGAATCTGCAACTGTGCAAAACATGAACATAACAATCTGGAGACACACAGCTGGAATGGAGGGACAGGAAATATAGGAGAGAAGAAAAAGAAAGGTTCTAGGTACTGAGAAGTCAAATGCATCTAAGGGATAAAAAAAAAATTTTTTTTTAAATCCTGAATTTGCTCCAAGTGTCTGTCGAGACAGAGCATATGAATTTTATGGAACTAAAAATAAAAAAACCACCCGGAACAGATGAGTAAGACAGAAAAGACAGCTGAAAAAGTGACAGCCAACGAACTCTAGAATTAAAAGTAATTATTACTCAGAGTCTAGGGATTGCTTCTGAAAGGTGAATGGAGACAGTGTTATGTAAAATGCAAGGAGAGCCTCCTGTGCAATCAGACAGAAGAAACCCCAAGAAAATGTCAAATGTACTCTGGCTCATCAATCCACCCATAGTCTGAGACTTTATGTCCCCCTTTTCCTTCTTTACTTCTACCTTAAGGAAAAAAGCTCAATTGTAATAGTACCATGACTTATTTTTAACAAGAGGTTTTTGTTGTTAGTTTTTTCTTTTTTTCTTTTTTTTTCTTTTTTTTTCTTTTAATGAAGGCCAGGTTTTGAGTGATTCAGAACATTCTTTTGTGGTGTGATCATATTCATTCTGTGCTAACACCTCCAGCCATTTTTTTTTTTTTTTTCAAACACGTCTTGTTCTGATCCGTTCAAACATCTTGACGTTTAGGTTAGGGAAGCTGAGTTGTTGTTTATGAGTTATCTCCAGTGCTCAGATATCCGGCAGCTTTTTCCTAGGAAGTTAGCTTTGCACATGAGAGAAAGGAAAAAAAAAAAAAAAAAAACTGCATGGGGACCAGGAGGTTGAGAAGTTGGAGAAAGGGGCAAAGATCAGAAAGAATAAAGCTTAGAGACTAAGGATTGCCAAAAATTAGTCACGTGGGCACTTCCATCCCTAGAAAGTTTTTCCTTCTTCTGAAGAGGATGTGAAAGGTGTTGAATTGCACTAAAATCTGATGGGAAAGACACATAATTCTTTTTTTTTTTTTTTAATAGAAAGGATTTAAAAATTTTTTTTCCCTCTTAGAATTTGATGGATGCTTCTTCAACATTAATTTGCATGGGAAAAACCCCCTCCTTCCCACTCTACATGGTGAATGTCATCACCACAAAAAACATTTTGATTTCTCGACTGTGGTTGTAAAGTTATGCTTTGCCAAGTGTGCTTTTATTTGTCTGTTACCTGCACTTGCTATTCAAGCCGGCCTGAGGTTCTGAGGACAAGTTGACAAATGAACTTCTGCTAGTTTCCTAACAAATGCTTGATAACGCCAGGTTTTCTTGAGTGTTTGTAAAGGGTTAAGAAGTTTAAGAAAGAAAAAAGAGGGGGAATAAAAACGAGCACCCTAGTGATCGTAGTTCAATTGGGGGGGTGGCGGGGTTTAAGACCAAATGCTGGGTGACACCAAGAAGCAATCTGGGAATCACACAATTTTTCCCACAGGAATTACATGTGGAAAATCCTCACTTTCTAAGATGAAAAACTCCACTGCATACAATGTCTTTGGCTTGTGAAATCCTGTTAACTGGCCCCATTAATCTTAAATCACTGGCATATGAGAGTCAACCAGCACTGAGGCTGTGACCACTTCTACCACCTCAGGACCACATTCTGGGGGGTGCCTGGGACATTCCATTCTCATCCGAGGTTTCTCCATCTGTCAGTCATTATCAAGGCATCTTAAGTCAGTGGGTCCTGATCCTGTTCAAGCACTCCTTCTATTAGGGGATACGTTTTAGATTTGATAACCAAAAAATCAACACCCTTAACAATTTGGTAAGTGGCTGGAGAGGAAAATAAGAGAGAAAGCTTTTCTGTGCCTCTAATTTGAAAAACGAAAGGGGGTGAGGGGGGATATTACCCCGAGCAAGCTGACATGATTTTGAGCTGTCCTGCCAATTTCCTGCAGAAAGCTCCCCTTCCGGGAGAGAGGAAATTAAGAACACCAACTAGTTAGTATTGGATCGATGCTTCTCAAAGACCACTCACCAGCCTTCGCTTGGGCTTGATCAGGGGTCGGTTCTGCCCATTCATCTTGTGGTAGAGCCCACAGGCGTTGCACAGGTAGTGCCCAGTGCCATCTCGTCGCCACAGTGGGGTAGAGGTCGCCCCGCAGTTCACACACTCCCTGCCTTCTAGAAACAAGATCACACATAAGTCACTAATGGAAGGGAAAAAACGCAGAAACGCGGATAGCGCACAGAATTAGAGAATGACAGTCAAACAGAGAAGTTTTTTCTCTCTTCTCCCTCTTTTAGGGAACTTTCCCACCCCCATCTCCCTTGAAGGCGGCTGCCATGCTGAAAGGAATTCTTGAATGGCCAGCTCCTGGCCTAACCCATATGCATAGAAGCGGCCCATGAATATATTGCAGCAGAACCTCGTTCTGAGCCAAACCTCGTTCTGAGACAAATTTCAACTTGAAAGAGTTCCCCTCAGAAAATTCGGAGCCCCAGACACCCAAGAGCAAACATTCCATTCATTTCCCTCAAAGGAAAACAAAAGTGACCCATTCTCATCAATAAGTCTGTCTATACAGATTGATTAAGTCATAAAGATTAGGATGGGGAGAAAGGGAAGATTGAATCAATGGCAAGATAGGTAAACAGATAGTAAATAGATGAATAGATTGATCAATTGGCTGAGTGATTTTTAGTGGCCAGGGCTTTTGATTTTACTTCCCATAAAACTGTACATGTCCCTGGCTGGCAAGTAACAGATGAAAACCCAGCAGGTCCCACTCATTTCCACATCTTTTTTTCCTCTAGAAAAGGCCAAGGTTTTGCACAGTTTCCCAGATACTGTGACAGGGACTGAAGTGCCATCTTTGGGCAAGGGACCTGGAGGTGAGGGAAGGGAAAGGGCCAGGAGAGGGGCAGAGTGTGAGGCAGGAGATCAGAGCAGGCCAGTTAGGGAAGGGGTTGGGGGAGCTCTTGGTCAGCTCATTAACTGGGGCCTGCCGCCATTGCTCTTTCTCCAAAAAAAAAAACAAAAAAACAAACAAACAAAATCAACAAAAACCGGCCAGGCAAGGTTCGGGCAGCATTCACTTCAGGGGCAGAAGAATGAGCCAGACCCACCTCCGGAGGGAAAGCTCCTGGGGAGACTCCCTCAAAACACCATCTCAGGACCCGGGGAGTTTGCTTACTGAATGCTTTTCAACTTTTGCAGGAGGAGGACTGTTTCTGTGTGAACTTGTCTAGTTGTTGGGGGCTGTTCTCCACACCCGGCTGCCCTGAGAAGGGACCCCAAAGGAAGGAACCCCCCTCTATCTCGCGGGGGGCTGCTCCCAATCCTGCAGGAGCCAGGGACTCTGCCAGAGTGAGGATGACTTTGCTCTCTTTGGGGTAACTGGGAGGGAGGCATTGGGGGATGGGCAAAGAGAGATGAGCTCCTAAAGGTTGTTTTAGGAGATTAACCAGCTAACTCAAAACCACTAGGAAGAAAGGCTGGGCTGAGAGAGGAAACCCCAGCAGAGGGATGGGGAATCTTGACTCCTCGCTGGGAGGGCAAGACTGGCCTGCGGACAGGGCCTGTGCTGCCTCCAGAGACCCCAGACCAAGTAGGAGGGAATCAGAGAGCTTACACCTGTGACCCCCATGCTTTTCCCCAGGGCTAAATTGGAAGAACGAAAAGAACGTTTAGGAAATGCAAAAGGGTTTTGTCTGCTTTCACTTTGGAGTCCATGCCAGTATTGAGTTGTTTTTGTTCACTTTCCTTTTCCACAAAATAATGAAATGTGTGTCAAGGAGTTAAGAGAGATCTTATTGTTATTTCTCTTGTTCCAAATTCAAAACACCGCTCCTATCTCAGGGTCTCCACAGATCCTTCCAAGAACCCTCCTGATTATCTACATAAGCGCGGTCCTGGTGTGCCAGGAGCACTTTCAAGGGACCCAATAGCTTCCATCGGTCCTCAAAAAAGGCTTTGGACTGAACTGCATCCAGACACCTTTCAGGGGGTCCAAGCCTGCGAGCAGTAGCCACTGGATGTGGGGGAGGCAGGGAGGAAAAAGGAAGGGGCAGTGGGTAAGGAGTGCCAGGGGCTGCCAGAGCCAGGAGGCCGGTAAGCCCTGCAGGCTCCGTGCCCCGAGTGGGCACTGGGTCAGCCCCATCCGGGGACAGGGATGCTGGCCTGGCCTGGCTGGGGCTGCCTGCTCTCCATCCTGCCAAGACAGGGGCCGCTCAGGCTCCCAGCCATTTTGTCCCTTTCCTACTTGGCCGCTGGCAGAGCTGGCGTGAGGTTTCTCTGGCTCCCTGCTCCTAAGCACCCTGGGCTGGGGGATCTCCCAGCCTGACTAGAGAGTCTGACTTCCTTTCCTTTGTCAGGCGGTGGGGAGGATGACAGCTTCCTTTTCAGGGGGACCTGAAGAGTTAGCAGCGGCTGCCTCCTCAGCAAAGCACTGCTCAGTAGAGCAATTTTCTGTCTTGATTCACTCCGCAAGTTTGCGATTGACTCGCGTGGGTTTTACTTTTTTTTTTTTTTTTTTTCTTTCCTCCTTGTTGCCTCTAGTCCGTGACTTCCACAAACAACCAATTTTCCTAATGGAGGCCCTGACTGTCTCCTGCTTTCTCTCTCTCCCTCCCCTCACTCACTGCCTGGTGTGAGCAACTCACACAGACACCTCTGTCTTAGGTGACAAGAACCACAAAGCTGCGTGGCCTCTTGACATTCAACAGCCATTTTCATACACCCCTTCGCCCCCGACTGAAATCCAGAAACTGGGCTGAAGGACAGACGGGGTTGGGAGCAGGGGTGGTGGTTGTGAAGAGGAAGGTGAAGTGGGATGGCCACAGGAGGTGGGGAGCTAAGAAGTGGCCATTTGCAGACAGGCTTTGTCTTTTGTCAGCGCCAGCCCTCATTAGAAAAGCAATAGGTGCCCTAACCACAGCTCAACGGTCTCGAAATGCGACAACCCTCTCTCCTTGGTAAGTGCAAAGAAGAGGTGTTTAAAAAAAAAAAAAAAAAAAAAAAAAAAAAGAGCAACCACTAAAACCAAAAGAATCCCCCTTCTCAAGAATGCCCACCACTTCCACAGCTTTTACACAGAAAATGTCTAGAAACTTCCCCTCCCCGATCCCACACTCCCAAAAGTCCCAGCTCCCTCGATGCCCAGGTGTGCTAAACTTGCTTTTTTGTGCTTTTTTTTTTTTTTTAACTGTGAGAAAGGAATAAGAGGAGGAAGTAAAAAGCCAAATTTCAATCAGCTCCTTATCTCTCCCCCTCCACACACACACACAAAATAAAACAGGTATAGAGGTACCCCTGATTCTGGTTTAGAAAAACCACAGCTCTCCCCACCTCTCTAATGCTCATGTTCATGTTCAGAGCCTTAAGGAAAAAGATGAGAGAAAGAAAAAGACTAAACGGAGGGGCGAAGGTATGCACAACCCAGGGTGAGAAATCAGACATGGGAATGAGGGCAGAGAAACCAGAGGCTTCTGGAAAAGGTACTCTGTCCCCTCCCCCCACACATAAACCACCACACGGGCCTCAGATACCACGATCTTCCCCCCAAAACTTTTAGCCCTACCAGAAAAGAGAACTTAAAAACCAAAATCCCATCGCTACCTCAAAAGGCACAGGTCTGCTTTCTTTGCAATCAGACCTCAAGCCTTTGATCTGCTCCCAAGTTTTCCGCAGAAAATTGCACCCATTTCTCTCAAACCCCCCACTCAGCGCCAAGCCCAGCCCCTGACCAGGGAGCCAGGCCGCTCTCCTGACCCACTCTCCCTCTCGCTTTCTCTCTCTGACTCCACCGGCAGCCTACCTCCCTCTCCCTCTGCCGGCTTTCATGTACTGAACATGCAGGTCTGAGTTTTTCTGTCAGCCTAACCGCATCCGGACTCTATTAAAGTTCCTGGCTCGGGATAAACAATGCAACTGTCGCGTGCAGCAGTCTGAAAATAATTGGATTAGCAAAAAACATATCAACTAAAAAGAGACAGTCCTGCCCAGGCAGTGGGAGTGAATGTCACCCTGGAAAAAAACCCTGAGAACTGATCTCCTGGTCACTGGGTGCCCAGAGCCCTCCCTCTCAAGTTTTCTTTCTAAACCGGGGTTTTGCCAGCTCTGTTTCAAGACTGCTCATCTCGCCCATAAAAAAAACAAATGGTTTTCACCACTTCTCTGTATATAGAGACTCCACAGATGGAGGACAGAGGCAAGACGGTAGGAATGGATGGGGACACTCACCCCCCCTGAAAAGGACACACCCACCACACAACAGTCTTCACAGAAGCATCTCTAAAAAACATAACCGACTCTCACGTCAGCGAATCCCAAACTTTCTGATTCAACTGCTTTGGTTAGAAATAAAATTGGTGGTGGATTCTCTTTTATTATTATTATTATTTATTATTATTATTATTTTGTGTGGGTTGGGAGGTGGTGGACACTAATGCAAGTGTTCACACCAAGAGAACAAATAAGTAGTGCGCTGGTAAGACAGGGTGTGTGCTTTTTGGAGAGAGGATGAGCGGAGGAAGCACAGACACACACCTGGGATCTGTTGCAGTCCTTCCTTCCCACCTCCTCTGGCTTCAGATCCACCGAGGACTATGTCCTGAGACACTTTCCTGCCCCTGCCCTGGCTACTTCTGATTTACATGCAGCCGCTTCCCTAGGACACAGCCTGCCTTGCTGTCCCCAAAGTTACCACGAGAACCCTTATTTCCACACAAAGAATATGGGGGCTGCTCATGCAATGTCACGCCCAGTGCAAAAAAGAGAGAGATGTGTACACTTTATTTACACATGTCTGTGTAAAGGACTGTCCTCTGTTGACTGAATGACCCCGGGAGAGCAGGGCGGAGAGGAACAGTCAAAGAACTCAGAGGCCAGGAAGGGTCAGAGGAGGGACCTGTGTTTGTTTAGGTTTCAGGAGGTTTCATTTTAGCATTAAACACTCAAGAGTTATTCCCTTGCCTCCCATTTGGTCTTGGAAACTGACGGAAGGTTACAGGCAGAGCCCATAACCCCCCCCCCCCCCCCGCCCCCCAGCAGACAGGCAGGCAGGGGAAGGGTTTGTGTTTGTGTTTGTGTTTGTTTGTCTCTTTCCTTTCTCCCCGTTGGGGGGTTTAACTGGATCCCACTGCCTCGCTGCCCTGAAGACTGGACTGAGAGGGGACACACCTCACTCTTTGCGGCTGTTAGAATGGAAAGAAATCAAATCTGAGGGGTCTGGAGCCGCACCCAGTAGAGCCAGGCTGGGCTCTCCTTTCCGGATCCTGGATTTAGGAGAAGGAAGAGAAGAAGAGGAGGAGGAGCAGCCCCAGGGCAGAGCAGGCGCCTACCTGTGCTGGATCTCGCCTTGGGCCTCGACTTGCACCCAAAGCCGGTGGGAGAGCCCCCCAGCAGGGTGCTCGGAGGGAAGAGTCCGGAGCTGTATTCTGGGACGTAGGGCGGGTAGGTGGTGATGGGGTGGTGCGCCGAGGAGGCCGCCCCTCCCAGGGTGGTCATGCTGCCCCTCGAGTGTGAAGACTCCAGCTTCATGCTGTCGGGCAGTGGCACCTGGTACTTGATACACTCCTTCTCATCCTGCCGGCCCGAGCCCGCCGAGCCGGGCGTGGATAGGGACGGGTCCGGGGAGACGTCCTTCGGCGGGGTGGGCGGGAAAGTGAAGAGGTGCGGGCTGGAGTGGCCCGCCGACAGGGAGGAGGACGAGGCGGGGGGATAGACCGAGAGAGGCCCCGGGGAGCCGTGGTGGATGGACGTCTTGGAGAAAGGGCTGAGGTTCCAGGGCGAAGCGGTGTGGTGGCTGCCCAGGGCTTTGCCACCGTCCAGCCAGGGCAGGGATCCGTGCAGCAGCGGTGGGCGACACACCTGGCTCCCTGCGGGGAAAGGGCAGGAGACAGAAAGGCTGGTGAGAACAGTCCGGAGGCCCTCAGATTCCCCGCCTGCCCCAGTCTCCCTGACAGGAAAATCCCAAACACAGACCGGGTCTGGGTGCAGGCCCGCTCTCACTAATCCAGGTGGTGCCCAAGTACCTCGGGCTGCACACACTTCATCGCTCCCTCCCACACCAGTGTCCCATCAGCGCCCGAAGAATGAAGGGCCTGGGCCTGACATCCAAGAGGTGCTGAGATGGGAGTGAAGAAGGGCCCCTTGGCTTATTGGACTCTCCAGATACACTTTCTAAATCACATCCCCTGAGGTCCCTCTCTAGAAACCTGACTTGATTTATTGGCTTCCTTCAATGGCCGGGGTCCCCCATCCTAGACCTAATCCCAGCCAGCCTGATAAGAGTCAGCTGTGAGTGATGAGGCCTGAAGGGGTGAGCCTGGCGCGGAGCACTCACCACCAGGAAAGTCCGCCAGCAGCAGTGCCCAGCTCCCCGTGCCCAGAGCAGGGGGGAAAGGGCTGGGGAGAGAGGTGAGGGGAGCTTCTTAGGGTTACTTGCAAGTAACCCTTACCTCAGTGCTGGCTCATAATTGGCAAGGTCTGATATGGGATTTGCAGGGAAATGGTAACTGTTCAGACTGCTGGAGAAAGTTCTCAAGACTGTACCCTGGGACGTCTTTCCCACCCTCCCCAGTCCTGTAGAAGAAAATAAATTAAGGCCCAGATGCCCTCCAAGTTGTCCTTCCCCCGGTGTGATCTGTGAGTTTTCCACCTGAGCTCCCGATGCACACAAGTCCAGTGCATGTGTATGCTTCACTCACCCACGGCGGAAGGTAGCCACGACCCAAGACAAGTCCATACATACACCCTGAGAGGGGGAAGTCTAAACTGCAAGTTCAAATCCACACACACGCACCTTGATCTTTTAATCCAGTGCCTGCCTCAGCGTTTGACGTTCTATTTCAACCATTAAGAACAATACTGAAACTAAAATCTTAAGAGAGAGAGGAAGGGGAGGAGAGAGGAGGGGAAGGAGAGTTCTCTGAACACCAAGGGTCAAGATTCAGATTATGCAGGAAGTAGTATAGTAAATAATGTGAAGCCTGCATCCACGCATTTCCACTTAACTGCTGATCTGCGGAGAACGAGGGCAAAGAGCGCCCCATCCGCAGGAACAATTGTTGAGACGGGTGACAGCAGGGGGAGGCCGCCTGCTGCGGGAGGGGCTCTGTCATCTCAGCCAACCCTGGCGCTGAGAGAGCCGCACGCTTTAAAACTTTGCTATTTCTTCTTTTAAAAACACTCTTGCTGCTGGGAAGCGTTAGCGCCCCCCCCCTCCCCAACTACACAGGACTGAAGGGTGTTTTTTTTTTAGCATTTCAGAACTCCCAAACTTCTTCTCAAGGTGAAAGAGAAAGGAAAAAACAAAGTTAAGGCCACTGAAATCGCTCCTCCATAAAAAATAAAAAATAAAAGAAACCCTGGTGGATCCTCCACCTCCTTTGGGAGCCTCCTGGACTGTTGTAGGCCCCTTACGGGCAGGCGGTAAGGCCAGCGTTGCGAGGAGCAGCAAGGAGGCAACCTTACAAGCGAAGCCGCAGGAAAATTCTGTGCAGCCGGGAACCTAGGAAACTGCCAATGCCTCCTCCACCTTAGGAGAGTCGTCATTCCACCAAAACGCCTTAAGCGCCAGAACCCCATTCCTCCGAGCCCAGGCGCAGCTAGACATGCCTAGAAACCTAAGGTTCGAGCTTTGCGGGAACCGTCAGACTCTGGGATGTGGAGAAAGGCGGCTCTCGGGCCTTTCTGGAAATGTGTTCGCTGGCAGAAGGAGCTCCGAGATACCTGGAGGAGCAAAGCCCTTGGGAAGAACCGAGTCTGCGCCGCTTGGGGCCAGCGCCGGGGGCCGGCGGGGAGCCGCGCCGCGGAGGCAGAGCCTGGCCCCGGGCGCCTGGGCCCTCCGAGGCCCCCGACCCGCGGCCCCGCGCCGGCCAGGTGCGCGCCAGGCCCCGGGTCTCCAGGCGCCTGAAGGACTGCGGTGCAAACACACTCTCCAGACGGTCGAGGCGGCTTCCTCGCTCATTTCCGGGCCCCCAGTTTTTAAAAAATGAAGCACTCACGGCGCTTAGAGCTTTGGCAATGTCTCCCCAGCCCTAGTCCCTCCCGGCCTCCCCCCGACCCCTTGGGGCAGCGGGGTCTCCGCGCCCAGGGTGGACTCACCGTGGTGGGTCGGAGGGTACCTCTGCACCGTGGCCCTCACCGAGTTTCCGTAGTAGGACGGGACGTGGTTGCCCTGGCCGTCGATGTTAAAAAGTACATCCACCTCCTCCGGCAGAGGGTACTGCGCCGGGTCCATGTAGGAGTGGCCGAGGCCCGGGTGGTGCGTGTCGGGGTGCTGCCCATTGAGGACCGCGGGGTGGTGGTGGCTCACCCAGCGCGGCTGGTCTGCCGTCACCTCCATGGCCCCCGGCTGCGCTCGCGCCCTCTCGCCGGGCCCGGAACCCGCGGGTGGAGAGGGAGGGCGGTCGGTCTGGGATGTCAGGGGGTGGGGGCTGCGAGGATCTGCAGGTGAGCTTGCCGTCGGAGGAGCGGGGCCCTTTAATGATTTTCTCTCAGTATGGGAATGGGAAAGGTGGGAAGGAACGGTGAGCACGATATATATAAATATATCTTGGAGTGGTAGTTTAACAAGGAAAAGAGGAAGAAAAAAGAAATGAAAATTTAAAAATACAGGTACAGTAGGATAAAGGGGCCCCAAATGGCAAATGGGGGCGAGAACGGCTGGAATTCTGCAAGGGAGGCTCTTCCTCAGCGGCTCCGAAGCGGAGGCCCTCCTCGGTCAACCTGCAAAAGAGAGAAGGGGAGACGGGGTGAGCCCCTGAGTTCTTTGGCACCTGAGTTTATGAAGTGGCACCACCTGCCCTGGAGCCGCCGGCCCGCGCCCCGGGACACGCACACACACGCGCGCTCACACGCGCGCACCTCCCACGGAGCCGGGAAAACCCGGACGCAGCCCGGGAGGGAAAGGCTCCCACAGGTCATCCCCACAGCCCGGCTCCCTCGGCAGGGAGCCCGGGACGGAGCCTGACTGAGCCCTTCCAACCCGGACCACACTCCCTCCCTCCTCCCTCCGGGGGACATCGGTCCCAGGACCTTTCTTCCAGCCTCTAGAAACTCTCCCAAAGAAGAGGGTTGAGTTTTAGATGTTGTACAGTTTTTTTTTTTCCACAAATGCAGAGAAGGAGAGGAAAAAATTAAACTTAAGAAAAAGAAAAGAAAAAAGTCGCCGGTACCAACCTGGTTAGCGAGGAGCAGGGAGGAGGAGGAGGAGGCGTGTGACCTGAAGAGCAGAGCAGAGAGTGCTCCGTCAGATTGCGTGGCTGGCTCTGTCCTGCGCCCTCTCCGTCTCTCTCTCTTTTCCTGTCTCTCTCCCTCTCTCAGTATTTTTTTTTTTTTTTTTTTTTACAGGGAATGCATTCTTTCTGAAAGTATCAAGACGGCGCCAGGCAGCTCAGTGTTCGCAGACAGCTGTGGCGCGACGCAACTTAAGGAGGTTCTAGTGTCATCTGCGAGAGAGGGAGGAGCCTGGCGCTGGCGAGGAGGGGACAGCCTCCCCCGCGCAAGGAAACTGCAACCCAAATCCGCTCCAGGGCTTCACCCCCAACCCCTCCTCTCGCCCCTTCGCTGACCGGAAAGGGGCGCCTCGCAGGGCGGCCGGGGCGGGGAGCCGGGGGGCGGCGGGTGGGCGAAGCGGCCGGGGGCGGGGGCGGGGGCGGGGGCGGGGGCGGAGGGGGCGGGCAGGAGGGAATTCGCGCTCTGGCCCTTTAAATGTGGCTCCAGCTCCTGCCAATTCTTTCCGGCTGGGTAGATTATTCCTTGCCGGTGCAACCGGCCTGCTCCATTCATAAACTTAATTTCTACAGGCACAGTTGCTTTTTCAGACTTTTTAAGTGGGCAATTAAAAAAAATTCATTCTGGGGAGTACTGAGAAGTTCATGGACTTGGTGCTCTGAACATGTAAAACTGATCAGGAAAAAAAAAAATTAACGTCCAGGTACTTTGAGATTTGCCTCTGGAGAGAAATGTCTACGAACTGAGAAATCGGGCAAGAGAAACATGCCTTTGATTGAAACTCCGCGTCACTTTTGGGGTCGTTGTCAATGTGTTCCCTGGCCTTTTGAGTTAACAAGCCACCCGAATGTGTCAGCTGTTGCAGCTGTCGTTTTCAGACCTAATAGTTGCAATCGAACTGTGCTTTTGAACAACAGTGGCAAAAGTGGAGATGGGATGGATGGAAAGGAAAGAGGGAGAAAAACTCCAAAATAGCTCCAACTGCACTGAGGGGTTGGTAAGATGGACCTGGGTCTTCACTCCAGTTACCCAACTTTTTCCTTACTGACTCCGGTTCCCAGCGCATTTCCCCAGCCTCCTTCACCGGCCTCGGGACAGAACCGCGGCCACCTCCCCGCGGCTCCGGACTCGGGCCGCTGAGCCCCAAACCCCGGGCGGCGGGAGCGCGGCTTGGAAAAGGAGCGAGGCGGAGCGGGGCGGGGCTGGAAAAGGAGCCAATCAGCGGGCGAGGCCATGGCCGGGCCGCGATTGGCCGGCCCCGCGGCCTCCAACCTCCGCGGCCCGTCCCGGTCCTTTGAGCCACTGCATCCCCTAGTGGCGCTCAGTCTCCTGCAGCCGCGCGGCCCGAAAAGGCGACCGGGGCCCGCGCCGGGGTCAGGCGGGAGAAGACTCAGGTCCCTCCCTCTGTTCGCCCAGCACAAAGTGTGAGATGGGAGAGCCAGAGTTCTCCCGCAGGCTTTCCCAAGGACGGTACTAAGAGTTTAATGTGGGTTCCATTTGAATGGGAGACATGATTCCCTTTTCGCTCCTCAAATACAAAAATTGGATCTGGAGGGTTCCTTGCATGCAAAAACATCGATATTCACATCAGCGTTAACTTGGTGAGCGGGCGGGAGTTGTTTTAATGCACAATCCTTATAGGAAGATGAGTAAAATGTATTTTGAATTAAGTAGTGAAAACGTGGGTCTTCTGGGTCTTGGGTTGGGAGTGTGTCTCTTGCGAATTCATCTTCTTAAAACCTGATGTTTGTTAGAAATCGGTGGGACAGGAGGGAAAAAATCCCTAAATTATGCACCGCCGCCGCCGCCCACCCCCCACCCCGTTTCTCCTGAGCCCATTTTCGTCCCTGGTTATCAGGGCGGTCGGGCAAAGGAGCATCGATTTTCCTTTCTCTCTGACCGCGGCTCTCTAGGGCCAGTCAAGCTGCCAGCCTCTGCTGCTCACAGCGCTCTCCGAACCTTTTAATTATTTAGTTCCTAATATTCGCCGGAAACCGCCCCACAAACGGACAGATGACCACACACACACACACACACACACACACACACACACACACATATTTGCTAAAAAGTCCCGAGATTAAGAATGGAAGCAGAAGAAAAAAAAAAAATGAACAGCGCTTCTTCTCCGAGCGTCAGTCCAGGACCAAGATGTATGCTCGCCTGACCTCTGTCCAAAGCTACCCCAGGCCTGGAAGCCGGGAAGGAAAAGGGAGCCTCTCCTGAGGAGAGAAGGGCTGCCCGCGCCACAACTTGAAAATGTTAACTTCTGAGGCAGAGAGTGATGTTTAAGAGACAAAGAGAAAAATTTGTGAGAAGGAGGCCTTCCGGTGCAGCGGCGCCGCTCTGATAACCTACCATCCTGAGGTTGGGGGGAGGCATTATTCGTTTTAATTAAATCACACGCACCCAAGTCCGGCTGCACTGGGATGGAGAACCCCACCTCCCCCCACCCCGACCACCCTGAAAAAATAAAAGATCTGTGAGGCCCCTCCAGGTCTGGGTGGCTGGGAGCCGGCCGGGAGGCGCGGGGGCTGCGGCTGGATGCCCGGTGTAATGGAGCCAGCCTGTAGGGGGTATTTAACATTTAATTCCCAGCCGGTCCGCCCCTGTTCCCGGACTGACAGTGGGTAATTGGGAAAGAGGACGTTGCTCTTTTGATGGCCCGCGCCGGCCAGTCTCGCCGACGCCACACTGTGTTTGACGTCACGGGCCCAGCCCCAGAGCCGGGAGCACAGAGCAGGGGGGTCGGGAGGTGGGGGGGGGGGGGAGGAGGAAAAAGGAGAAGAGGAGAGGGATCCCGGGGAGGGTGGGCCGAGGTCGGCCTCGGGACCCACGGGAAGGAAGGGGGAAGGGAGCGCGGCTGGAGAGAGGCTCCGGCGCTTGGCCTGAGGCGGAGAGCCCGGCTGCGGGGGTCTAGGCTGGGCCCGGCGCCGGCTAGACCGGCCTCGCCGGCAAATGCAGGCTGGGCTTCCTCCTCCGGGGGAGGGCGGGAGAGGGGAGGGGAGGGGGCTCGAGGCCGGGGGAAGGGGAGACAAGGTGGTCCTGACTCCCCTCTGCCATACAGAGCCCGCAGAGCAGATCCTGGCCTCCTGCGGAGACGCTCAGCGCCCCTCGGCAGACTTGACAGCCCCTTCCCCGGGCACCTCTGCTCAGCTTGCCTACGAGCCCTCCTTCTCCCCGGAGGAGAGAGCGAGAAGACCCAGGAGGATGCTGTCGCCCTGGGCTCCAGTAGGGCGCGAGGCCTCCCTCACCCGGGTAAGGGGCAGGCGGATGGCTTGGATGCCTGGGACCCTGGAGGCAAGCAAATCCCGAAGCCAAGCAGACAGCGGCGCAACCACTGCCCGCCTACCCTCGCCCCCACCCCCCACCCCCAGGAGCCGAGTCCGAGCGTGGGGGGCGGCAGGAGCCAGTGTGGCCTATTTGCAACGCCGCCGGGCTTCCAGGCGGCTGCCATAGGCATCAAGTTGAGTGAGGTGTGTGTGCCCTCTTGGGGAAAGGGTAAGAAATGGAGCCTTCCTTTCTCTCCTCGGTTGGGCTACACTGGGACCCACCCCCCGGTCCCCAAACACACGCGTCCCACCTATCCGCCCTTCTTGCTGCCGTAAAGACTCAAGTCGAGATAGACGTGGGGAGCCCAACCCCACCAAGGAACCGGAGCCCCGCAGCGCAGAGGGGAGGAGCGTGCCCCTCCCCGCCCCCCTGGCTCACCCCAGGACTCAGGGATCGGAGATCCACGCGGGAGCGGCACCCACCGAGCCTGGCGCCGGGCGCGTCCAGGCGAGCTCCGCGGGGCCGAGGTCCTGGGAGCCGCGGCCCGGCCGCCGCGCCGTCCGCGGAGAAGGGAGGCACCCAGAAAAGCTGAGCCTCGGGGTCGGAGTCATAAAGTTACTACTAATTCCGAGCCGGGGAGCAAGCGCGCCGAGAGCCGCCCGGGGCGGTCATTGGAGCGTGTTTACTTAAGGGCTCTGCGAGCGGAGCGCGCGCTGAGCAGTCGGGTTCCCAGCAAATATTTGCCGGCGGGAGAGAGGGGAGCGGAGCCGGCCGCGCCGCCGGGCCCTCCCCCCGGAGCCGCGGCGCCGGCCTGGGCGGACCCGGCCTCCCAGTGTA